ACCTCGCTCTTGACGAAAAGCGCCAAAATTTAATGAACATGTACATTAAAGTTTACTTAATTTACAGTGAATTGAAATATTATTCATCTCTCGTATATTAAAAGTATATTAAATTTCAATACACTTATATATTTTAATTTACTTAAATTAATTTTCATTAACATGAACATTAAATATCATTTCAGTTACGAGTTATTTAAATATCATTTACCATTGTATATTAAAAGTTCATGAAATTTCATGACATTTTTAACAGTGTACATGATTGGCGAGCGCTGCAATCTGGAGAACGATAGTGTCCCTAGAAGATAGAGTCTGGCCACTACCCCTCAAAATGGCGTCAGTAAGTGGTGGGGATTGATCACAGCTTTCTCGAAGTACATTTATATCGTGATATCGTGGACATACGTATACATACGTATACCCTTTTAAAGGACACAAGGAAATCGATTAACTTATACACAGTAAGTTAAATTATTATCGTGTTACAACTCGTCAGTTTCACATTTGTTAGAAGTGTAAAATCCATAAGTAACTTTCTTACCTATCAAATAATAACATTCTTACAATATGTTAATCATAAAAGGAATTTTATTATGCAATACACATTATTTACAGAATACACAAAATGCCTTACTGTTGTGTAATGAAATGTTCCAACTCGTGGAAAACGGGACATTCACACAATGCATCGCCTACCAAGAAATATTGAAAGAAAACAATATTGGCTTGCAAATATAGAAAGAAATAATATAGATGTTACAAAAGACTGGTTTGTATGCGAGGTAAGTTTTATATATTGTTTAATTTATAGTGGACATATTTAAAAGTTGTATTAATATTATTATTAATATGCAACAGGTACATTTCTCACCTGAAATGTGGGAAAAACCACGAATAGATGGGAAAAAGAAATTAAAATATAATGCAATACCTACCATTTTTCCACAAAAAAATAAAAATCAAATTGTAAGCTTTATCTCGAGTAGACGACAATGAAATGATCTCTAATTCTTCCAATGTAAGTTTAATTTTGTGTTAATTTTTTGTGCTATTATTTTTATTTTATTATTATTTTTAATGTACTTGTTATTGCAATATAGGATGAAGTGCATATAACAACTTTATCTCCAGTACCTGATAATAAAATGATCTCTCATTCTTTTAAGGGGTTAGACCACTCTTGAAAAAAATTTTTATCGTTTTTTTTTATTGGCTTAATTGACGTATAAATGTGTCAAGAATAATATACAATAGGAATTATCAGCCGGAAAATTGTATAAACAGTTTTTTAAATCAATTTTATATAACAACGTCAAGCGCTCCGAAGCGCTCCGAAACGGTCGATAAAGCAGCTCTGCTTGGTGCTGTATTTTGAAGCATCGTAGTCCGAATCGGTAATTTTGTTCACTTCGTGTAAGTTATACTTCTATAAGTTTCCTTCAGAAGGCGTTACTAGACTTTTCTTTGAGGAAGATACGTCATAATGGCCGTTAGAACGATTCTCTCGCGCAGTACACGTGGTTGTCGTTGTCGTTCAGTATTCGTGCCGTGTGGACTTTATTGTGAATATTATAACAAAAAGCGTGAAAAATGAGTGAAAAAGTGTATGTAGGCAAGAAAGGTACAAAAGTATCTGTAGATCGTGCGAGCCGAAGCAAAATAACCAACAGAAAACCACCTAACCGTCACAGCTTCGAAGGCAACTCTGAGGACGTTTCAAGACTTGCCAAAAAATTGAAAACGTCAACATCGGAGAATGATATTCAAATCGACAGCACATTAGGATATCGAATTATCAATTTCATACCCGTCTTCATGATGCTGGCTGAAATTTTGGTTTGTAAATGCGGCGAAAAAGTTAGTTTTTCTGAGTCAAATAAGCGTGGCCTTGGATTCAAAATCGTTGTAACGTGTAAAACTTGTGGAGATATTTCAATTGACAGTAGCGCAATAATTAATGGAAACGCTTATGACATTAACCAACGCCTTATATTTGCAATGAGATTAATAGGTATTGGATTTAATGGGATCCAGAAATTTTGCGCATTTATGTGTTTTCCAAAGCCAGTGTTTAAAAAAGTGTACACTAATATCGTTCATAATATTAGTATAGCTGCTGACGCTGTATCTTTAAAAAATGCAGCTGACGAAGAAAAGAAAAAATCTGAAGAAAAGGGACAAACTGATGGACTAACCGTTTCCGGAGATGGCTCTTGGCGAAAGCGTGGCTTTTCATCTCTCTTTGGATTTGCCAGTTTGATCGGATGGATTACTGGAAAAGTGGTCGATATTTTAGTAAAATCAAAATATTGCAAACAGTGCGAGTATTGGACGAAGAAAAGTGACACAGACGAATACGCGGAATGGTACGCTTCACACGAATCGAACTGTGATTGTAATCACACCGGTAGTGCAGGAAAAATGGAACCAGATGCAGTTGTCGAAATGTTTTCGCGCTCCGAAGCTTTACATAATGTCAAATATGCGCATTACGTGGGAGATGGCGATAGCAAGACACATAAAAGCCTTGTCGATGCCAAGCCATATGGTGATTTTACTATAACAAAAAAAAGAGTGTATTGGGCACGTACAAAAACGAATGGGAACGAGACTCAGAAATTTGAAAAAAGAAAAGAAAAATCTTGGCGGCAGAGGTATGTTGACTGGAAAGTTGATCGATGAATTAAGTATTTATTATGGATTGGCTATTCGACGAAATACCGACTCGATAGAAAATATGCGCAAAGAAATATGGTCCACATTGTACCATAAAATCTCTACTGACGAAAAGCCTCAGCACGATAAATGCCCCGAAGGCGTTGATTCTTGGTGTTCATGGCAAAAATCAAAGGCGTTGAATCTTCTTGACGAATACGTACATAAACCGGCAATGTCTATGAAAGTTTTTGATGCGATACAAAAAATATACGAAGACCTTACAAGAGAGGATCTACTTTCTCGTTACCTCGGAGGATATACTCAAAATGCGAACGAAAGTTTGAACTCCATCGTTTGGTCAATAGCACCCAAAACGATATCAAGCGGCAAACTAATTATCGACATAGCGACTAATGTGGCTGTAATTACATACAATGATGGATTTACGGGATTATTGGATGTCATGGCAACCTTGGGATTGAAAATCGGCAACGAAATGTACAATTTTTGCACTGCAATCGACGAGCGTCGAGTCAAAGCCGCCAATCACTCCGCGTCGAAAAGTCGAAAAGATGCTCGTAAGGACCTTACATCGCTCCGAAGAAGCTGACGAAGAAAATGTAGACGTGGAAGGGATGTTATATGGTCCTGGGATAGCAGACTGATGGTAAAAAAAATTCACATGCATATAAATGCAAAATTTCATATAGTAAATACGTTTGAAAACTTTGAACGCGTTTTTCTCGAAACCATGTTTTTCAAATTGGCGGGCAACATAACTCGAGCAATTTTTGATCCGATTGACTTCAAATTTTTACTATAGCTTCTTAAATAGATTATCTAACGCGGTACACACGATCTTTACAATTAATTAATAATTACATTTTTTCTAAATAAATAAAAGTCGATTTTTTTTACTGAAAACGAAACGTTCGCTTCAAACTGGTGCCATTTTGCGACAAATCAATTTTTGATAATAATCTTGTGTACCGCCGTAGAAAAACTAATGTAAATAACGAAAAAATTTTTTATTTCATCGTAGGTGCTGTGTACGAAAACTTAGGCTGTCCGCCATGCACGTCCTCGGAAAAAAAACGTCCATATTCGACCTGCTGGAACGCTGTCATTTTTAACTTTTTTCGAAAAAAAAAAATTTTTTTTATATACTCCATTATGTGTGGAATAAACCCTTAAAACGATATTTTGATTTATTTAATAGTAGCGGAGAAAAAAATTCAAAAAATAACCCTTTCTTTTTGATGCGCAAGAGTGGTCTAACCCTTTAAAACTATAGATGGCAGCGCCCGGAGCGGTCCCCTTTGTGTGTTCCCGCCACATGATTTTTTTAGTTAAACTATTATTTTTTGAATTTAAAAACTAATAAAACAATTTCAATAAAATTTTATTGTTTACAAATGATTTAATTATTTAATACAGCACTTTATATAATAATAATTACGTAATATATATAGTTATTCTATAGATAAAAATTAAAGTAGATAAAAATTAGAATCTCTTTCTAAAAAATGGAGTAAACAGCAAAATTGTTTTAATAAATGATGAAAAAACAACGAACACAATTTTAAATTCGAATCTTTCGGACTTCGGTGCTTGCAAATTCTTTGATAACATCTGTAAACTCCATATCTTTTGTTAGATCTCGTTCAATAGTACCTGATTCATTTTCGAACGAAGATAAATTTTAATAAGCTTTAATTTTGGAAAGCTTCGTTCGCAAGTGGCAACACTCACTTATGGTCAAAAAAATTCGTAAAACCACTGTCAAATTGGGTAGCATTTCTGTAAAACCCCATCGAACTATCCATGCAAGGAAGGTTTCTACTGACCACTAATTTACTGGTATGTCTGTCTTTTGGGCAGTAGAACGATAACTGCTCACAAGCCGTCGCAACCTTTCTACTTCAGATTTGAGATTATCAGAATCAATATCGTTATAGATAGTACGTAGCTCATTAATTTTTTGTTTTATGTATTCATCGTTATATACATCGAGTAATACTTTCAAGCTCAAAAATCCAAAGCGTTCGTTTAACAAATTGAGTTGCTCGAAACGCTGTGTAATTTCCTGATTCAAACGATCAATAGATTATAACATATCTCGACATATCTCTTGTTGCGGTAACAGGCCAGCATCGTCTTCTTTCTCTACTATTATTTTTTTCTTTCATCGTATGCGATTTGTAATAGGAGTTTTCATTTGCTCACATGTTACCTCAGTCAGTACCTTGTCAACAAGACTATTTCTATTTTTGCTGAAAAACGATGCTAAAGCATTAATAGCAATCACTTACTAATCAAGACCCAAACCGTTCGTTTGGAGATATTTCTGAGTTTTGTCTATTTCAGGCAATATCTTACTCTATAAATGAAGATAACATAAAAATGGGAAAGTAGTCATATACAACACCTGCATCACTGCGTGTATCAGCATTTTCTGACTGATCCATAAGAATTTCCAAAGCATTTAAAACATCTGCATAATGAGACTTGATGATCTTGACTGTGTCATGCTTTACACTCCAACGCGTCTCAATCACTCTCTTAACAGTTACAGGCACTGTTTGTTTTAATACATCCCAGCGATGAGTAGATGCGGAAAAAAACGTAAAAATTCTCTCCATTGTTCCAAAGAAGGTAGTGGAATATACACTCCGTCTGGCAGCATGAACGCCAGCTAAGTTTAGACTATGATTAGTACAAGCAATAAATCCGGCTTTGGGATTTATATCTTTTATTTTCTGTTACATTTCACGGCGAATACCTGACATTGGAGCAGCATTATCATAACCTTGGCCATGACAATTTTCGATAAACAGCTCATCCTCATCCAGTGATTTCACGATCATTTCTGCAATTTTCTCAGCATATTTTTCTTTTATGGAAAGAAATCCCAAAAATCTCTCCTGAATTTCTATTTTGTCACCATCAATCTTTACATAATGAATTATTTCTGTCATCTGATCAATATAAAAATATGCAACACCTGATGTACTATCAAAAAGAATGGCGTAGTACTTCACTTTCTGTACTTCGCTTAAAATTCTTTCATACAACGTGCAAGGAGAATAATAAATTTATTCTGAATATCTGGTGACAAATAGGAAATTGGCAAATGTGTCCGGTGAGCTGAACGAATATGTACCAGATGTTCTTTCATGACAGGATCATACTTTCCTATAAGTTTTATTAGTTCTAGGAAGTTACCACTATTATAATTAATGTTATCGACGCTTTCTCGATGACCACGAAAAGATAAAT